TGGCAGTTTAGTCATTGCTTTAGGGGGTGTTTGGGGGCCCATCTGGCTATGCTCGGGGGTTACTCCTGACTCTGTGCTTAGAGGCCACTCCTGGTGTTGCTTAGGGCACCTATGTGGTATTGGTCTTAGCCGTGTACTCTCTCGGACTCCAGCAGCTGACACTTCTGCTGGAGCTTTCCTCCTCCTTCTTCTTTCCTTTGTGGTTACTGTGACAACAGTGGGGAGGAGCATGAGGAAGTGAGGGAGTAACATGACTGCGGTGAGGGTGTCAGCATGTGGCAGTGCTAGGTTGACACTCTAGGCCTCAAGCCTACAAGCCAGGCACCTCGACCATGGAACCACGCCTGGAAGTCATGTTCAAATCCTTTACACATCATTTTTAAAAAGCAAATGATAATAAGCATAATGTGGTTTATAAAACTGTTAACAGCAGGGCTTCGTGCACTACCATTCCAGCTCACACCCTCGACCACTGTGTCCGGGTCTCCTGTTCCCTCCCCCTGTGCCAACACACACTATGTCCTCAGCTGTGGTTGGCTTCCTAATGAAGACCAGTTCTCAGATTCTGTTGCTTTTGGGCATTTGTTATTCCAAGTTTTTTTTTTTAATATCCCATATGAGAAAGATTATTCTAGATCTGATATTTACATGCTATTCTAATTCTTCTTCTTTTAAAAAAAACTTGTTTTAAAAATTGAGTGGGGGGCTGGAGCGATAGCATAGCGGGTAGGGTATTGGCCTTGCACACAGCCGACCCGGGTTCGATTCCCAGCATCCCATAAGGTCCCCTGAGCATCGCCAGGAGTGATTCTTGAGTGTGTGAGCCACTCAAGAATATGTTTTCAGGTACTTATACAATAACATTAGTTTAATTTTTTTATTTTTTAAAATAGAAATACAGACAGAAAGTGCTAATGTGTAATTTTGTTTTATTGACAGCACAGTCTCTTAACGGAGGTGAGATGTTAAGAGGCACATGTTAGGAGTGTCGCTCGCATCGCCAGGTGTGACCCAAAAAGCAAAAAAAAAAATGAGTGGGGTTTTGTGATTTACAGTTTCGTTAATGGTTTCTCATGCACATAACTAATTCCAACAGCACAGGCCCCACCTGCCTCACTCAAGGACCCCAGTACCTCTCGTCCCTTTTTAGTATCCCCTTCTCCCCATTCCAATTCTTTTTTTTGTTTGTTTTTGGGTCACACCCGGCAATGCATAGGGGTTACTTCTGGTTCTTCACTCAGGAATTATTCCTAGCAGTGCTCGGGGGGCCATATGGGATGCCAGGAATTGAACCCGGGTCTGCCTCCTGCAAGCAAATGCCCTACCTGCTGTGCTATTGCTCCAGCCCCTATTCGAATTCTTTACACACTATTCTAGTGTGACTCTCAAAAAGGGGTTCTGGGCCCACATCACCCGAATGTTGTGAAACATGTGAATTACGGGGCCCCGCTAGACCTTCCTGGTCAGGAACTCTGAAATGAGGGGCTTCACTGGGGGTCAAGCGCTTTCCTTGCAGGTAGCTGACCTAGGGTCCATCTTTGGCACCACATACGGTCCCCCAAGACCCACAAGCAGTCCTCCCTGGATGCAGAGCGAGAGTATGCCCTGGACACAGTTGCGTGTGACCCAAAACCCTAATAATAAAAACAACAATACAGAAAAGAATGCTGAGAAAAGGACAGGGTTCTGTGATCTGTGGTTTGACCAGCCCGAGATGGTTAAGATACAGTTCACGGGTGAGGATTGCAGCTGTGGAGTTTGGGGTGATTTGGTGTGAAGAGCACTGTCTCTTTTTTGTTGTTGTTGTTGTTTTCTTATTCAAATCACTTTATCCAAATGTTTGGCATGCTTTGTGAAAAAGTTTATAGTAACAAAAGAATAAAAATATGTTTTCAGGTACTTATACAATAACAGTAGTTTAATTTTTTGATTTTTTAAAATAGAAATACAGACAGAAAGTGCTAATGTGTAATTTTGTTTTATTGACAGCACAGTCTCTTAACGGAGGTGAGATGTTAAGAGGCACATGTTAAGAGTGTCGCTCCTTCTGCGAGTGTCTCCAGAGTGTGTTTGGACCAAGAGGCATGGCCTCCTTCCCACCTGGGCTCCTCTGAGGCCTGGCTGGGCCCCGGAATGCAAATGCTTCATAGCATCTGGGGATGTGGGCCCAGACACTGATCTATTGCTGGCGGGGACTCGCCACATCTCTGAGTCAGTGGGAAATAGAAGTGTTTGTGTGTGTTCCGTAAGCATGTTCTGTGCCTTTCTTTACAACAGTTGGTGGGTGTGCCCACATCGGGGGAAGACCAGGTCTGGGTGCAGAGGGGCTCCCTTTGGGCCTCAGATGGTCCCCTCCACTTTCCTTTTCAGATACCTTCAAGTCATTTTTGCTGATGCGCGTCTATCTTATTATCTTCAAACTGTCTTTATTAATAACAAGGGTGTTTTAGCCCAGATACTAGTTCATTTTGGGTTTCTCTATATATGTGGGTGCTGTCTGTCTGTCTGCCCTCCCAGTGTTCATCGATTTGCTCGAGCGGGCCCAGTAATGTCTCCATTTTTTGAGACTTGTTGTTACTGTGTTTGGCATATTGAATATATCACGGGTAGCTTGCCAGGCTTTGCAGTGCGGGTGAGATACTCTCGGTAGCTTGCCGGGCTCTCCGAGAGGGGTGGAGGAATCAAACCTGGCTCGGCTGGGCTGGCTGCGCACAAGGCAAATGCCCTACCACTATGCTATCGCTCCTAATTTTGATTATTTTTGAATAGCTTTATTGATCTAATTCATCTTATATTTGTTTTTGACCAGCTAAAGAGTCATTTTCCTTTCCAGAGATTGAAACTATTCACTTAATTTCTTCTAATGTTTGTAGGGAAAAAATAGATCTCTATACTATTCAGCTTTTATTCTTCTTCATTTTTTTTTTTTTTTTGCTTTTTGAGACACCTCTGGCTATGGTCAGGGGTTACTCCTGGCTCTGCACTCAGGTATTACTCCTGGTGGTGCTAGGGAAAGAATATAGGATACCAGGGATCGAATCTGGGTCAGCCCCGTGCAAGCAAACGCCTTTCCTGCTGTACTATTGTTCTGGCTCTATTCTTAACAGGAATCTATACAGTCCTGCCAAAAAAAAAAAAAAGGTAGTAAAATGCCTTTCTCAAGATAATGTCAATGAATTTTCCAATCTCCCCTTTGATTTTCTCACTGATTGCCTGCTGGGTTTAACCTTGACATCTTGGCATCTCCTAGATTCAAATGACTTCAGTATACCAAGCAGGAGCCTTTGATGGTTTATGACAAAGCAAACAAATTTCCGGTAGTTTGTCACTTATTATTTTTGCCTGATTTGCCTGACTTCTGCCTCAGGGGTGCTAGGGCCCTCCAGGGTCAGGGCACTTGGGAGGTGCACGGTGCTGCTCTGACCCATGACCCCGTGCATGTCAGGTATATGCTTTTGTCCTTTGAAGCTATGTCCTGGCCCAACTGTGGTAATGTGGTATATTTGTGGTAATGTGTCGGGAACTCAAAAAGATTCATTTCTTATTGGAGAAAAAATTTGATTTTTCCTTCTATCATATGATCTTGTATTTCATCCCCCCCCCCCCCTCCGCCCCCCTGCCCGGTTTTGGACCACACCCTGTGGTACTTAGGGCTTATTCTTGGCTCTGCACTCAGGAATCACTTCTTCTGGCATGCTTGGGGGACCATATGGGGTGCTGGGGATTCAACTTGAATTGGCTCCATGCAAGGCAAACCAGCCTTATGGGCTGTACTATCTCTTCAGCCCTAATCACAGTCTCCTTCTTATTTCAGATAAATTTAGCTTTCCTGTCCCTCATTCAGAGTGGACAAAAGTCATTCCTAGACCCTCCGTACCAAGAAAGTGTTTAAAATATCCATGTATTTCAAGGCCTCATAGTCACTGTCTAGATGAAGTTTCTTATAATTAAAAAATGTTTATTACATGACTTCATTTTTCCTTGCAAGGAAAGCTCACAAAGGGACAAGTGGAGGTAACGGTTCTACTCTGACTGTGTGAAAAATTGCAGCTAGTGTGTGTGGAGGAAGAAAACAGAGGGAAAGATAGAGGAAGCTAGAGAAAATCGTGTTGTTGTACTGGAATTCTGAACAAGTGCTATCGGGACATAGGCTTCAGCTTTCCTCTCCAGAGGAACAGGTTGGTGAGGCCCCGTGGCCCTTCCTGCAGGCGAGGAGTAGGACACAGCGCTTAGTCCTAAGTTCCCAGGAGCACGTCAGTGCAGTCTCTTCCTGCAGGAGGTCACGTGGGGCACCTTGTGGCCTGTGGCAGCTTCCGGCTTCTCCACTGCTCCTGTGACTGTTGCCTCACCTGCTTCTCTCCAATGACATTCTGTGATGTCATTGGAACTGTGCCCATTGTCCTCCCAGTACATGGCAGGTGGGGCCAAGCAGAGAAAGTCCAGGACCTGCCACTGCTGGACAACCAGGAAGCGTCATGACCATGTCTGAGTTCTGGACTACTTTTTTTTCCAGTTAAGTGCTGAGCGGAGTGACACCTTTCCACCCTGTATCTTTATTTGTTTTAAGTTTCGGACTCTCATGGCATAGAAACAATTTCTTAGAACTCTTCTTAGAAACATGTAGGTGACCCATGATTGTGCATCTCATTAATGCAAGCAGCCAACTTTATGTCTCTACAGTTCTGATTTCTACATCAGGTTTTGTGTGTGTGTGTGGGACCTCACGAGAATGAAGCAAAACCTACCCCCAGCCTTTCTTCTTTTATCCTGTTTCTCTTTAACTCCGAACCAAGCAATCAGTAAGAATCTCTGAAGTGTCAAATCATTAGAAGGCTCTAAAGAAATTTCCCTCTTATCTCACCCAATTATTTTTATTCGATTATTGGTTTTAAATGGTTAATCTGAGTTGATCTGTGTATCCTTTCCTTCCTCCCCCAGCCCTGTGTGTTTCTGCTTTTGGATGGATTCCTAATTCCATTCACCTCTTTTTTTCCTCCTAGGTAAAAATGATAGCCTGTACATCCTCATCGTGGCCGGAGGGACTGTTTTATTGTTGATGTTGATTATCATAATTACGTTAATCACCACGTTTTCCTTTAACAGGTGAGTATTTAGGGGTCCGCTTACAAATCTTGTGATACTGTTCACGCTGAGTCACTCTGATGGTGGTGGAGGAGAGGCATCTTGATCCAGGAGTTGGTCCAGCTGTGGTGACATATGTTCGGGAAGCTGCGCTTCCACAGCCAAGAGCAGTACCTGTGATACAGCGAGAAGCGAGAGAACACCCCTGAGGAGTTGGTAGGAGTTGGTTGTCTGCTCAGATCAGCAAACGCCCATGTGGAGTTCTGGCAGTCAGCTTCCTGCCTGATGCCTCTGCTCCTGCCTCTGTTTTCCTTATGCAAGGAAGACAGTTTGTAGGATGGTGTGTGTCTCTGTGTGTGTGTGTCTGTGTCTTTACCTGTGTCTGTGTGTACATGCGTGCATGCATGTGTCTGCACATGTGCACATGTGTGGGTGTGAAAGAGGGAGAGAGGAAGGGAGAAGAAGGGAAGGAGGGAGAGAAATCCATTCTGAGAAAGGGTGGAACAGTAGGACCTTCATTTATTCCTTCTTCAGAATGTTAGTGCAATCGTGGTGAGTGCAAGCTATAAAGAAGCACACGTTCTAAGAAGCTAACAAAAATACATTTAAATGGCGATACAGGTGATGTTTCTAAGTGAGTCAGAAAGAGCTTGGAAGGGGATCTCTGGGAGAGAGTATTTGGTCATTTGTCTGACCTTTCCTAAATTTCCAACTTTTTACATTCTCAGACCACACTTGGGAGTTCCCTAGAAAACTATTGTTGGACTCTCTCCCTTTGTCTAGCTTGTTCATGATCATCAGTCTACCAGCTCTATTGGGTGGGGATTTGTTGCAATATGGCTATAATCATTCTGGAATTACCGGAATTACTCCTTACACCATGCTTTTCCTGAAGTTTTGTCTTCTTAAGGATGAGACCCAAATTCAGATATCTGTCTGCGTTTTGCGTTTCTGACACATCCGAGGCGCTGATGTGTCTGCGGCTTGATCGAACCTTTCCATTTCTACTTTTTTACCCCCTGCAAAACGGCCACACACACATTCTCAAGTGTGCCTGCTTTACTAGGAGGGTTTCCATTGGGTTTTCTCATCTTAACTCAGTCATATGCATTCCCTCATCTGGGGGTATCAGAAACTATAAAAACCAGCTCCCAGAACCTTATTATGACATCTTATTATGACATCTTATTATCTCATTCCTACTTTGGACAAACTGGCAGGCTACCGAATGTAGCCTGCCCACACGGCAGAGTCTGGCAAACTCCCCGTGGCGTACCCAATATGCCAAATACCAGTAACAATGATGGGTCTCATTCTCCTAAAGAGCCTTGAATATAACCTCAGGGCCAGGATGAAGGAGACGTTACTGGGGCCTGCTCGAGGCAATCGACGAATAACAGGGGGTATTAGTCACGCTCATATCTCCACAGCCTTGGGGGACTCTTGCTTCTGCTCACCTGGTTTTAGAAATTCTCTCCAACCCACTGGCCTGCTGTCAGCTGTCTTCTCTTAAACCCATCAAATGCTCCTGATTCATCTTCTCACAGATAGACTTTTTTTTTTAAGTGAAACTCCATTTGGTACAGTTGTTGACCTCACAAATTTTTGTGCTTGGCTTTCACTTATACAATGATTGAGTACCGATCCCTCCACCGGTGCCCATTCCCCACCTCCAATGCTCCCAGCATCCCTCCCACCTCCCCACCTCCCCCATCCCACCCCACCCCTGTGGCAGGGCATTCCCTTTTGTTTTCTCTCTCCTTTTGGGTGCTGTGGTTTGAAAATGAGGCATTGAGTGGCTATCATGTTCGATCTATAGTCTATTTTCAGCATGCATCTCTCATCCTGGGAGGGTCCTCCCAACAACCTTTACTTGGTGTTCCCCTCTCTATCTGAGCTGCCTTCTCCCTCAACTTGTGCGGCTGACCTCCAAGTCATGGAGTGAACCTCCTGGTACTTATCTCGGCCATTCTTGGGTGTTAGTCTCCCAATTTCAGATAGACTTTTATTTAAGGACTTCCTCGGTCATTTCGAACCCATCGACCCCAGAAGAATGTTGATGGTCATTCACCCCATCATCAGAGCTATTCTAGGTGATGCCTGTTCTGGATTCAGCCTAATGTTCATTCCTACTTTTCTACTTTCTATGTTCCTTGCATCTCATGGGAAATGTTGTAGCTAAACCATTGCTCTGGGAGCACACCTGCCCTTTCCCCATTTGGTAAGCAAACAAACGCTTTCCCCAAGATTCCAAGTCTTCCTTCAAGGTATGGGTCACCTGTCCACTCTGAGCAGCTGTTCCCATTTCCTCTCCCTGAAGAGACAGTCTGTCACCGTCAGCATCACAGCAAGCTGCTCGCCGCTTCCATCTCCTCCTGCTCTCTAGTTTCAGCCTCTGCAGCCTTGTTGTCCCATATGTTCAGAACGTCAGGTCGTGTTTGCTTCACTCATTAACGTTAGCATTTCACATTCATCTTTCCAAATAACGGATGTTCAGTAAGCGCTTGTTCTAATTGAGTGAAATGGGAAATTGCCCTTTGTCCTTTCTTGCTCTCAGAGATGGCATCCCCATCTTCCCCAGGGTCAAAAATGAGCAAATTGATGGACATAACCTAGGACATTAGTGCCACTCAGGAGTGCTCTCCTGTTTCACAGCGGTTGCTAAGCAATGTGACTGGAGCAGGTGCGACAGCGGGAGCATCCAGGAGTGGGGGCACAGCAGAGAGAGAGGGAGAGAGGAGAGAGGGAGGAAGGGACGGAGAAGAGATAGAGAGACACACAGAGAGACACTGAGACAGAGAGAGAGAGTAAGAGAGAGAGAGAGGGAGAGAAAGGGAGAGAGGGAGGGAGTTCAGGAGGGAGGGAGAGAAGGAGAGAGAAAGAGAGAAAGGGAGAGAGGGAGGGAGGTAAGGAGGGAGGGAGAGAGGAGAGAGAGAGAGAGAGAGAGAGAGAGAGAGAGAGAGAGAGAGAGAGAAGCTCTGAAGGGGAGCATGTTGGAACTGGCTTTCCGAAAATGCATCACTCTTACATGAAGAGCTAGGATGAACTGTAGACTTAATTTTTTATCCCCCTTGGTTAAATGTGATATAAAGGATGAGTGGAATTGAAATCATACCAAGCTTGTTTTTCTCTTGATCCCAGCATCTGTAGTGATCTGTAGTGGTTATTTTATTTAAAAAAAATGTCCCCAGGACTTAAACAATGAACTTCTGAACTCCGTTTTCGAGCTAGTTGACAAGGAGGCTTTGATGGACCAACTTAGGTAGAAGCCCAGATGAACCTGTATGCTGAGTGAGACCGAGGTCTTGCCCATGTTCAGGGTTTAGGACTCCACATCTGGACTCTTGCTCAGCAATCAGTTGGTAGTTTACTGGGTTAGGAACCAAAGGGTGACATTTACTATGTGGAGCCTCCTGAGGAGAGCGAAGGAGGGCTCTAGTCTCTGAGGGAGAAAGCCCCAGATTGAGTGAGGAAAGCATTGGGCACTTGTTTCCATGTATGTTCTCAGCTTCGAGTTTCCTAACAAGTGGACTCTGAATTAGGGCCAGGATGAAGGAGACGTTACTGGGGCCTGCTCGAGGCAATAGACGAATAACAGGGGGTATTAGTTACGCTGAATTAGACTTGGGTATCTCTCAGTTTCAGTGCTAAAAATCTCATCCTGGGGAAATGCTCTAAAAATAAGCAAAGTGCATTAATTGGTCAATCTAGAACAAGCCATAATATGTATGCTGTCTTTATTTTGCAGAAAACATTGAACTTTAGAGATGCAAATCAATAGAGCACAAGATAAAGACAGAGCAGCTGATGCCAAGTTATGTTTCTTCTTCGTTATGTTGTAGATTCTAGACCTGTGATCCTTACACAACTGAGAACGTATTTAGGACAGCTAACCCTATGATTATGAGTAGAATCTTTGCGAATTACAAAAAAGCTCAAAAGTCAGAGATTTGTGTTTTATTTGTGTACTGATTATTATTTATATTTTTGTTTGTTCTTTGCCTACACCTAGCGATGCTCAGGGATTCCTCATGGGCTTTGTGCTGATACACAAAGGAATTATTCCAGGTGGTTCTCAGGGGACCATCTAGGATGCTGGGGATTGAATCTGGGTTGGCTGCATGCAACTTTTCTCTTTATGCCTCAGTTCCCCTCTTCAATATGGAGTTTTTAATGAAAGCAATCCATTCAGGTGGAGGGTTTTTTTTTTTTATAAAGTTTAGTATCACAATCATCCAAGAAGTTATGTACTGTTGGTGTTTAAAAAGAAATTGGAATAGAGAGAAATTTCTAAAACATTTGGAGCAGGTAGTAAGCTGTCTATGTCATAATCTACTATGAGCCAATCTTTAGTAAAATGACTGAGATCAGTTACTAATGCACACAGACTGAATATGCAGTTGGTTGCTTTTAGCTCATTAGTGAAGTTAAGGACAATGAAAAAGAGGCTCAGTCAATGGAATTTGGGTTAGTGTGTCAAAAACAGTATGAATGCTACTTTGTAAGGACCGTGATCGAGTACAGGAGAACTCAAGTACATTTAAAATAACCAAGTGCTGGTTTGTAGTTCCTAATATTATACTGAATGTTTTTCTAGAAGACGACGACAAAACAGAATTTTATTTGAGAAGTCCTGGGATACACAAAATAAGGTAAGTTTCCCCACAATTATAGTTTATTCTTTCTGTGCATTATCACGGAAATAATTGAATGTTATATGTTTTACATAGTTTATATATATAGTTTGCAATATATTTTTTTCATTCTCCTTTCAATAACCTAGTCATACAGTTGCCTCTAGTTCAGTCTCTTTCTCTGTTTTGTTTTGTGTGGGGGCCACACCCAGCTGTGCTCAGGGCTTATTCCTAGCTCTGCACTCAGGGTTCACTTCTGTTGGAGTTCAGGGAACCATATGGGGCTGCCAGAGATAGAACCTGAGTTGGTTGCATGCAAGGCAAGTTCCCTACCCATTGTACTATCTCTACAATCCACACAGTATCAGCTTTTTGATAAAGCAATTAGTTTTGAATTATCCTCCTATTAATCAAATCTTTTGAAACTTGGTTCTGCATAAATATGGATAAGCAAGCAATTTTGTTGACATAATAGCAGTCAACATTATATATTCCTGAAGTCTACAGTTTTCCAGGCTTGGGAAAACAAAAATACCTCCATGCCAAGAGGTTTTTTAAAATAAATCTTGCAGCTGGAGAGAGAGTATAGGGGTAAAGCATTTATCTAACACATGGCCAGCCCCAGTTTAATCCTTGGCACTCCATATGGTCCTTGGAGCACTGCAGGGGATAATCCCTAAGCACTTCCCCAGGAGTAAGCCTTGCACAGCACTGGGTGTGGCCTGCAAACAAAACCCAAAATCCCAAACCAGAAACACACGCACACACAAACATATAAAAGCCCAGAACTATTCTATCCTAGTGCTGGAGGCTTGTGTCCAAGCTTCAGGTCTCAGCAAGATCAGCCCTTCCTTGGGGGTCTTCGTTTGTTCACGATCACGATCATCCTGTTGTTCGTCGATTGCCTCGAGCAGGCACCAGTAACATCTCCTTCGTTCTAGCCCTGAGATTTTAAAAAGTGCCATATTCAAGGCTCTTTCAGGGTTAGGAGAATGAGACTCATCGTTGTTACTGGTATTTGGCATATTGGGTACGCCACGGGGAGTTTGCCAGACTTTGCCGTGGGGCAGGTTACATTCGGTAGCCTGCCAGGTTGTCCAAAGTAAAGGTAAAGGTAAAGGTAAAGGCCCTCCCGTTGATCGTCGATTTGCTCGAGCGGGCCCAGTAACGTCTCCATTGGAGACTTTGTTGTTACTGTGTCTGGCATATCGAATACTCTCGGTAGCTTGCCGGGCTCTCCGAGAGGGGCGGAGGAATCGAACTCGGGTCGGCCATGTTGGCCGTTTGTAAGGCGAACGCCCTACCCGCTGTGCTATCGCTCCAGCCCAAAGTAAGAATGAGGAAATAAGATGTCTCATTTGTGGCCGCAGGCTTCCGGGAGCTGGGTTTTATAGTCTCTGGGTCTTGGCCATTAATGGGATTACATGGTGCATGGGGGGGGGGGTGGGAGGGGAGGAGGAGAGCAGTTGGTGGGTGTGACCCCTGTCTACTGGAAAATGGAGGATCTGGGTGGAGGATGCTCAGCCTCGATCCGAGTAGGCTTGGAGATCTCAGCCCCAGGACCTACGTGCCTTTGTTCCTCTGCCGGTACCTTCATGTGTGTGGAGAGTGGTCTCAGCATGGTTGTAGTTGGTTCTGGAGGTCTTCAGCTGCCAGGGTTCTGCTCGGGGAGGGGAGGGAAACTCAACCCATCCCCCTCCAAGGGGCCCCGGCAAGGACAGCCAGGCGCGGGGGCAGGAGACTCTGCGCTGTTCTCTTCTGGGAGCTGGGTTTTATAGTCTCTGGGTCTTGTTCATTGTTTTATTTATTTATTTATTTATTTATTTTTTCCAGCCTCTGGAAGGGGCTGGACGTTCTTGGATTTGGTTAGGTGACTCTATATTCTCCCATATTCGCCTTGGTTCTCCCGTGGCAATACCTCCCCAGTGTATGTGTGTGTGGCTTCCCTTTTAAAAGGGTGCGCGTGTGTGCGTGTGTGTGTGTGTGTGTGTGTGTGTGTGTGTTTGAGGGACCTTCCCACGAGGTACCTGACCTGAAAATGGTCTGTGTGGCTCAGTGCTCTGACATGGCCCTACAATGCTGCTGGAGTTCAGAGCGGCAGGAAGATCGTGAGAGCTACCCCCTTGTCTGGGAGGAGGTTGCCATGTGCTCTAGGCATGTGCTCCAGCCTCTGAGCACTTTCTGGGCACCTCACACCAGTCAGTTTGGGTCGAATGGTCCAACTCCTCTGGACTATGTCAACAACAAACCTCTTGTGAGGAGTTTTCCAGAGAAGGACATTTGGAGGACACACTTCTGGTCCTACGTTGGAAAAAAAGAATTCGTGTCCTAAATTTAGAATGGGGATTCAATTAAAACCTAAAACTCAAAACATAGCAAACAGGTGGATACAATGCATGGCATCGGTGATCATGATGACATTTGAACTAATTTATTAATGAGAGGAAGCTCCCATCCTAGAGCCCCAGCGCTTCCTGATGAGCTGTGGAGTCTGATGAATTGGAGCACCTCTCCCCAGACTCTCTCTACCTTGCATCTGTTCCTAATTGTTTAATTGAAAAAGTAGAATATTTCCTCTGGCTTTGCAGATATGAGGGATGATTATTCCCAGGTCCAGTGTGTCTCCACTGTAGGGAAGAGAGTCTTTTGAATACCTATTGTTCTGTTTAAAAGGTTTAAAAAATTAAAATATGTCCCTCAGTGTAATCTAACATTACATCCATCTCTCCAAGTATCTGCAGTTGAAATCACATAGTCTAAACCTCCGGTACAAAAAAATGTTTGACAATTCAATATGTGTGCCTTAGACTACTTAAATATCTCAGTGTAACTTGTGTGTGTTTTTTTTATTAAGAAGTTACTCTTTGATAAACAATCCCTCCACTAATAATGCATTGCTTTCTTTTTTTAAAAAAAATTTTATTAGTTAAACACCATGAGCTACAGTTGTAGATTTACAAATTTTTGTGCTTGGGTTTCGATTATACAATGATCCTGTACCCATCCCTCCACCAGTGCCCATTTTCCACCACCATGGGTCCCAGTATCCCTCCCACACCCATCCTCCCCCATCCTACCCTGCCTCTGTGGCAGGGCATTCCCTTTTGTTCTTTCTCCAATGCGTTGCTTTCTATTTGGAACCAAATGCCAGGAGTTTGGGCTTATTTTGTCTTTCTCTCCAGTAGCTTGGGCTGGAATGATAGCGCAGTGGGTAGAGCATTTGCCTTTCACATGGCCAACCTGGGTTCGATTCCTCTGTCCCTCTTGGAAAGCCCAGCAAGCCACCAAGAGTATCGCGCCTGTGCAGCAGAGCCTGGCAAGATTCCCGTGGTATATTCGATATGCTAAAAACAGTAACAACAAGTCTCACAATGGAGACATTACTGGTGCCCACTCAAGCAAAAGATGAACAATAGGAGGACAGTGCTCCAGTGCTCCAGTGCTCCAGAACCCTGGCAGTCAAACATCACTGTTCCATATCCAAGTACTAATTCCCTTTCTAGTCCATAACTGTTGTCTACTCAAGCTTATCTAAGGCAGAATTTATTGCTGAGAACTTCAGATGAGAAAAGGAATTCCTGGAACTTCCTACCTCCGTTATTTAACCTTTTCAGACTTTTGTAGAATAAAATTTGAAGGATGGTAAGAAGGTTAGGTGGTAAATTGGACTGTTGGGCTGTGAAATATAAAGTTGTCAGACCAACTCACTTCTTTTTTAAAACAAGGTAACTAAGAAACTTTGGCTCTTGAATTTTCATCTTGAAAATAGCAACACTAAACTTTGAAATTTCACAAAGAACCTTCCTCCATCTCTCTCCTGCTTATGTCTTTTCAGCTATACAAACACGTGACAGTGCGGATTTTATTAAAAAAGAAGAGACCAGCGATTGTTTAGTATCATCATGAAGGGGAATGTGATTGTCTTAGTAATTTTTTCCATTTGGTCCAATTGCTTATTTTTAAGTTAGGACCTTTTTAAAAAAGTTTAACTTTTAACATATTTATTAAGACATCCATTAAAAAATTAATGGGAACGAAGCATGGGAAAATATTGTAACAGGATTTTAATATAAAAATGATAATAATTTTTAATGATAAAAACAAGGGTCAGGATGAATGGTTCATGGTTGGAAGCCTGCCAAAAGGGCCAGGGGAGAGGGTGGTTGGGACAGAGAAGGGACCATTATGACAATAATAGTTGGAAGAGATTGCTTTGGATTGGAGATGTGTGCTTAAGTGGGCAAACAACCAAACATGATGGCCTTTCAAGTATCTGTACTGCAAACGATAATGCCCAAGAAGAAGGAGAGTGAGGGAGAGGGAGAGAGAGAGGGAGAGAGAGAGAGAGAGAGAGAGAGAGAGAGAGAGAGAGAGAGAGAGAGAGAGAGAGAGAGAGAAAGAAAAAAGGAAGAAAGAAAAGAGAAAGGAAATAGAGAGAGAAAGAGAGAAAGGAAGGAAGGGAGGGAGGGAGGGAGGGAAAGAAAAGTCTCTAGTATTGGGGGGGGTGTGGCAGGAGGGATATGGGGGGATATTGGTGGTAGAAATTGTACACTGATGGAAGGATGGACGTTGGAACATCGTATTACTGAAGATCATGAAAGCTTTGTAACTATATTATGGTGACACAGTGACTCAATAAAAAATAAAATAAAATTTTTCTGGGGCTGGAGCAATAGCACAGCGGGTTGGGCGTCTGCCTTGCACCCGGTCGATCCAGGTTCGATTCCCAGCATCCCATATGGTCCCCTGAGCACTGCCAGGAGTGATTCCTGAGTGCAGAGCCAGGAGTAACCCCTGTGCATCACCGGGTGTGACCCAAAAAGCAAAAAAAAAAAAATTACAAAAGCCTAGCATTGGGAGAGGGAATTTTGTACCTAAACATGCAATTCATTGCACAAGATAGCAACAGGTCATTGAATAGAACTTTTACATTTTTCTCTGCAAATCAAGTCTATGATTCCTTTTTTTTTCTTTTTGGGTCATACCCAGCGATGCTCAGGGGTTACTCCTGGCTTTGCACTCAGAAATTACTCCTGGTGGTGCTCAGGGGACCATATGGGATGCTGGGAATCAAATCCAGGTCGGTTGTATGCAAGGCAAACGCCCTACCCACTGTGCTATCACTCCAGCCCCCATGTCTATGATTTCTTTACATAAGTTTAATACAATGACAAGAATGTTTGATGAAGTATATTGTAATAGGTCAAACTATATTGTAGTTGAATTAAAAGAAGAGTTATTTTTTGGCTGTCTATTAGCTGCGGAAATTCAGTGAACTGCTAATTGATATCGTCTATTTTTCTAGGCAACCAATAACTACCGAAGTCCCATCTCAACCAATCAACTGCTGGATGGTGCGAAAGAGGATGTTTATGTCAACTTCCCAACCTTCTCTCGTAGACCGAAGACTAGAGTCTAAGCTTTCCCCGTGATCTAGGCAAAATAATAATGATCATGTTACATGGATCTTTATATAACTTTTTTCCACCTTTATTGTGTATATTGAATACTGGTTGATGAATTTATTTCATTTGATAGTAATAAATACTGAATTGCCTAGACAAAATTCTGAGCAGAAATATTTCCCCAAGCTGACCCTAATTGGCTGATATATAAGAAAAAACTTACTTGATAATGGAAGAGAATGATGCCGGGGAACTTAAGCTTTGGACCCAGGTTACTAATGAGGGTTTATTACTTGTTGTTTGGGAGCCAGAATCATAGCACAGTGAGTAAGCAGCTCAATTTGCTCACGACTGACCCTGGTTCAATCCCCAGAAGCCCAGATGGTTTCCTGAGCCTCTTAGGAGTGTTTTCTGAGCAAGGAGCCAGAAATAAGTTTGGAGAACCACTGGATATGGGCCAAAAATGTTAAACACACACACACACACACACACACACACACACACACAATCTTGTCTCTGTAAATGTCTGGAAAAGGGAATGACATAAACCAGATTCTGATTCCCCTTCGTGGTGCTGACCCTGTTTACTGGGTTTGAACTCTTTATTCAGGATTTTTTCCCCTGGGCAATTGCAAGATTGTGACTATGCCTCTTGGAATTTCATAATTCTTGAATCTGAGAGAGATTTGATCTTCTTAGAGATCCAAAACATTTGGTTATTTACTCATCATTCAACAGGCATTTGGGTCAGAAAGGAGAAAATGGTTTAATTAAAGATTCCTCTTTACAGGGCAGACGGGGGCCAAAGTGTGTCACTGGGACATTGGCCATCTCCTCTGATCTAGAGAAGGGAATGGGACACTGGGGATTCTGCTAACAATGGTTAACTGCAATGCTAATGATGTCAGACATCTCTCCAGTTAGTGCATAGAACTATGTGGGCAGATCAAAATTATCCCTCTTTCTTCTAGAATCTGCTATATCAGCATAGTCCAGACATGCACTTGTGTGGTAGAATAAATGAGTGGTCAAAAGAGAAAAGAAAGGGAAATCTTCTCCCTTCCCATTCTCAAGTAAATTTTCTGATTTAATGTAGAATTCTTGTCACACTCCCTGAACTTACCGTTGAGCAATTGTAGCAGGTAGTCTGACAGTAACTTAATGCTTTTGGTACTTATTTTTAATATATAAATTTTCCCAGAAAAGTTGCCCATGCAGGCATGATTAGTATTAAAAAATAACACTGATGTGGAATCTGTGGGAAAGGAATAAAGTATGATATGGGGAAACTCATGTTCCATTTACCAAAGAAAATGCCAAGTAGGGATTTGAGAGTTCACCCAGGAGTCATAGAGTGTTTTAGGGCGGTAGTGTACAAAAGGAAAAAAGGAGAAAGTGGGGGTATACAGGAAGGAGGAAAAGGATTGGAGAAGTTTGGAGGGAAATTTCTCTTGCCTCAAAGTTTGGCCAAGGACACCCTGGTCCAAGCAACTGGGTGCCAGGCCTGAACTGTCCAAATGGCAAAGGAGAAAAAAGTACTTGTGACCCCCATAAGCATCGTGGACATCCTGAAACTACAGTTTAGTCATTACCTAACAGTGATCATTCATGTTGCAAATGTCCCCGACTCACCTCCGAAAGGAGGGTCTCAAAAACCTACACGTTAGTCTCAAAGTTGTGGGCGTCTTCTGATAACCTTAAGTGAACCCAAACCAAATCCTTACACCTTCTGGACAGGTTCTAAGCTATGCTTTATATGTTTAAGCCAGTGAGTATTTTATGATTTTAGTGTTAAATGTCAATCGAGTTCGATTCCTCCGCACCTCTCGCCCGCACGGCAGAGCCTGGCAAGCTCCTCGTGACGTACTCAATATGCCAAACACAGTAACAACAAGTCTCGTGATGGAGACGTTACTGGGCCCGCTCGAGCAAAATCGATGAACAACGGGAAGACTGTGACCGTGTGAGTGTTAAATGTCATGTATGTAAACCACAGGTTTTTCTGTGAATTATAGTCACTGTGAACTGCTCATGTTCGAGAAGGGGAAAAAATGAAAACCATTTCCCATCTTTACATGAAAATAGAGTTAGCTCTAATTTTATGGCTTGCTTAAAGATTTTTATATATAGATCCACGAAGTGCTTCCAGAACTGCATTGGTGTAATGAAGCTGGAGAGTTTCCGAAGTGCCATCTGCTACTTTATTAACGCCGTCAGATCTGTGAAGAATTTGGTGGCTGAATCTATTAGTTTGCACGACAAAGCAAGAGGTAGCATTTGAGAGATAAAAAAATTTGTTTCTTCAAATTTAAAGATAGCCAAAATATTATTTCCTTGGAAGATTCCGATAACAAAATTAATGAAAAACTTAGGTGGAAGGAAAATATTTCTCCTGGCGTGATGTGGGGAAACACATGTTCCATGTACCAAAGATAACGACAATTAGGGATGTGAGGATATACCTGGATGTCATCGATCTGGTCGCCGTTGACTCATGGCTGTGGGCAGTGGTGCTTTTTTTGGCAAACCAGGAGTTGTTGCAAAACCTATAGAATGTTTGTGTTTATCTTCTCCCATGTACGTTGTAATTAAAAATAATTTTCTCAGTAGGGCCAGAGAGATAGTAAAAGGTGTGTTGCACCCAGTTTGATCCTGACACTGCATATGGTGATAGGAGTGATCCTTGAGCTGAGTCAGGAGAAGCCCCTTTGGTTTTCTGGGTGGGTTGGGGGCACTTAAAACAAGTTTCCACTCAAAATATTTATGAGAATTCTTTCTCTTTTTTTGGCTTTTCTTAGGGGTGGGGGTCTACACTGAGAAGCTCAGGGCTAATTCCTGTCTCTGCACTCAGGAGTTACCTGAGTGGAGGTGCTCAGGGGATCATATGGGAAGCTGGGGATCGAACCCAGGTTAGCTGCGTGCAAGGCAAATGCCCTACCCGCTGTGCTATTGCTCCGAAGACCTTTGAGAACTCTTAACCCTTGACTCTGTCCCTTCTTTTTCTTCAGATTATTCTGCTGGACTCAGGATTTTGTTTTAAATCTGAAAATTTGTACTATGTCTAGCTGAAATTCTCTGACCTTTTCTGCTGGTTCTATTACACACTTAACATTTATATGAAATTCTGTTCCTCATTCATTTTTATTTCTCTGTATGTGTATGTGTAGAAAAGAATTCTCATTGTAGGTTCTTTACTAATATACCTGATTTTTGAGGGTTTTGCAGATCTACCAAAGATATACATACATATTATATATGTCTTCTATATTTATACTACATGCATATGTGTATGTGTATATGTGTTTTTTATTGTGACTATTCTGATTTGTACCATGTAAACAGATTTACTGAATAAAGGCTCAGAAATGAATTGGAAATAAATTGTCTTTTAAATCCATTTTGCAAGATGTTCCCTAAGATTCTTTTTTACATATATAATTATTGATGTTTAACACATTAATAAAAATATGTGCTTCCTTTTAATTTTATAACTTTAATATATACATTAGAGTAAAAAATTGAAAGGACTATCTGGTGACAAGATAGGTAAGTTTGTTAAAAGGCATTAGAGAATACACAGAGAACGTCAGAGAAAGAATGCCTCTTATTAACCTTCGGTGACTAGATATTGATTATATTGTAACTAGAGACACCTTGAAAACATTACCTTTCAGGACCTATCAGCATGCTGGAAAGTTTCAATAGAAATGTTAAATTTTATTTGTGCTTATGGTTGGGGTGGCAGGTGGGTAAGGCTGTATTTGTAGTTGAAAAATATTCAAGTTTATGAAATACTGTAGTTCAATTTATTACTTAAATGACACATAAATTGAAAGCAAGCTGTCATAAGATCAAGTAAAATTTAATAAAATAAATTTTTCAGGCTTACCATTGTAAACACCCAAGGTAAGGTTGATTTATTGAGAACTATATTAAATAAAAAATTCAGATGCTTGACAGTAATTTTCTAAATTGGTTGAGTCCACACTGTAATTAAAAATCACTATGATCCAAATGCTCCTCTTTTATTTCTAATAATGTACTATATTTTAGACAGGTGGCATGAAGTTTTTAAAAGATTGATGCTATTGCAGAGGTAAGATGCTTACAAGGTACAGGTGGAAGCTATAAATTGTGAGGACAGAGTTGAAGTTCCACAAACATCTAGATATGAAGATAACTCATATTTCCATGAGCACTTAGAAACCCAGGTGCAAATGCTGATTTTATGGTGCATATCCATATGCAAGTTTATTTTAATGATTCACCATATGGATGTAAAAATTAGGCAACTTTATCTAATATATTTCTGGATGAGGAAATAAGAACAGTGCAGGCAACCCAGGAATCTATTTGGTTTGGTTTTGCTTTTGTGCATGAGACAAATACCACAGTAACTGGTTTTGTTCTGTGCTCTGTCAAGTTTGGTTCTTGTCCTTTTTTTATGTATATATAATGTTAACTCTAAGGATATACAAACCTTTATCCTCTTCATAAAAATACTTTCTCCAGGATGCAGTTCTCCTGATTGTAATAGTGACTGAAAGGGAAAAAATTTTGATCAGTTCAACACAACTCTTTGTACATTTTCAGTACAAAGTATGAAACTTTGTAATTCCACCAAACATTTTCAGGCAAAAATCCCTATCTAGAATGAGCTGCCTTTTAAGTTCAGTGTGTAAGAAGAGGAAAAAGAGTGGGTATCCTCAGCGTGGCACGCTCGAACACTCGATAAAGCTTGGTTGTATTCATTTGGAAGCTCAGGTATTTTTCATAGCTTCTGTCCAAGTCATAACTTCCGTTTGTCCTGCCCACAGATGGACATTGGAGCGCTGCTGACTTGTTCTTTCAGGCCCTGATCTCTGATTTCTCTGCTTTTAGGGAAGTGCAGGTACGTCTCTCTAAGGGGAAAATGAGTCCTCCCTAAATAAATCTAGAAGGCAAGACCTGCTCAGCTACTGCTTAAACATCATGTTTGAAAAGGAGATTCATACATGGATTTCCAGAGAGGCCTACGTGTAAGGGGAAGGCTGCTCTTCATGAGGTGGAAATGAATAAAGGAATCTCTCC